CAAACAAGAACAACTCCATTCTCGCCAGTCCTTCGCCCAGACATTGTCTTTTCCCAATGGAGAATGGGACGAGCTCCTCAACCTTCTTCAAATTGCCCGACTCATCTATGAATCGTTCAGGTTTGAACTTGTGAGGTTCAGGGAATATCTGTGAAAATATAGGTTAAACTAAGATGTTAAAGTTGCAGTGTTTTTTGCAAATTTTCAGCTCTGCGTCTCATGCGGAACTAACGTGTAAAGCACGTGACTGACGCGTTTGACGACAAAACTCATTTCATTTTCTCATACGAAGATGTATGAGTCGGTTGTGTTTTTTAGATGTTGTATCCAAACAAGCGATCTATAGGTCCCAGTACATATTGGACAGTTGAAGGTTACTGTAATAATGGAACTATATCAATCGATAACGTTTTTTTACCAGTATGATTCTGTATCTCCTTCACCCTCTCTCTTCTCCTGCTCCCGAATGTATGCTTCCACGTAGTCCGTGACTTCTTCGTCTTTGCTCTTCTTGGTAACTTTCTCTCGATGATCTGCGATTTGCTTATTTAGTATGATTTAACGCATTTAAAGTTTATAGCACTTTTTACGTAGACCTGATCTGATCTTCATTAAAAAATTTTAGGCTTGTAAGCTTGCACTCATGAATTATGTCAAGAAGCTCGAGACTGCTTCTGATCTGAAAGTTGTGCCCCAACATGAGGACAACCCGTGGAACTACAAAATATACTCAAAGCTCTGCCGTCTTATCATGAAGAAAGTGGATCGTGATGTGGCAGAGCAGATGGGCCATGGTTGGGATCAAGCATTCGTGTAATATATAGTTACTGATTCATAATATTTTTAATTGTTTTTCAGCTTTCACGTTAAGGATTGGACCCAAAATGATTTGTCGGTGGAAGAGGTCCAACATACAATGCCGTTTGTTTTACGGTAAAATGAAAAGTTATTTTATAATTATTATTATTTTCAGATTTTTGGATATAGTCGAGAAAGAATTGATTGTTGATCAAGAAATGGCTCTTTACGTGGAGAAAAAGCTGTTTACCACCCAAGATCTCGATAAACTCGCCATTGATATAAATACAGTTATTGTTAAAACAACATAATAGCTTATGATTTATATATGTATAGGAGGCTAAAGCTGGAAAAGTTAGTTTACTTCTACAAAACTTCAAGCGAAAGGACAAGGTAATTTTTTTTTATTATTCTTATTACAACTAAATTTTAGTGCAAGGGATTGAACGATGTATATCAGTAGAAGTATGCAGAAACATTTGCCGATGTTTTGTCTAAAAATAAGAATGGAATCAATAAATTTGTTCTTGGTAAATGAGTTTTTTTTGTTTGTATCAATAGGTATGTATAAATAAAAATATAATATAAATATAATCATGCTCAATAATGGAGTGCATGTCCTGATTACGAGCAATTCAATAATCACAATTCTCAGACCATAGTGAACTAGTTGAAACAAACAACACCAGTCTACTGCACTATTTTATTCACATTTGTAATCATCATTGCAGGTTTATTATTTATTCAAAATCTATACAC